TGTATAGGGGGGGGGGGGGGGGGATCGGCGCCAGTGGTTGACGACGTTTGTGCAGAGGAGCGAGATGGCGGTGGCGGTGATGAAGAGCCAGGTGCGCCACGTGAAGTGCACGTCGAGCGCAAAGTGCGCGAACGGGACCTGCCCACAGCTGCGCGCGTGAAGAGGCGCTGTCCACAGTGCACGTGGAGAAGCGAGCGGCCGGGGCCGTGCGGCCGCAGCTGTCGTGGCGGAGCTCGGGGAGGGTCGGGAGGTCGGCCTGTTCACGGGTGCGGGTGTGTGAAGAGACGCCGTTCACGCCCGCGCGGCTCGGGGAGGGTCGGGAGGTGTGTGCCGACACGAGGGCGAAGACCGCAAGGAGGATGTACTCGAAGAGGATGTCGAAGAGAGACACCTGAGTCAGTACGAGTTTGGTATACCACTGTGGGGAGTGGTAGCAGCAGCGGTGGTCTGTCGGAGAGGGCCACCTTGCCGAGCAGGTCGAACCAGAGCAAGAGCCGGCCTCTCCGCGCGGGCGGCAGGACGCTCGCGGGGGCCCAGAGCGAGAAGAGGGTGAGGAGGAGCTTGATGAAGGGCCAGGACCCCATCGAGAACCCCGCGACCGCCATCAGCGGGTACGCCTCCGCGTCCCACAGCATGAGCACAATCTCGGGCAGCTCGATCTGCATGACCTGCACGCGCGGCAGCTCGTGCCCCGCCAGCGAGAGGCCGACGCTCGACGTGGCGAAGGCGCCGGGCGAGGCGTACACCGTCAGCATGCCCATCACGCACACGCACACCGCCGTCATCAGCAGCGCGTGCCAGATCGGCCGAGCGGCAGCCAGCGACGCGTCGACGCCCGAAGCCGGCACGCCCTGCCTGCGCAACGGGCGCCACCCGAGTTAGCTGATGAACCACTCAGTCGCCGATCTTAGGCGCGCCTCGCCTGCGCACCAAATGCCACCCCACCACGCCGCCCGCCACCAGCACCACCGAACCGTAGAGCAGGACTGTCACCGCGGCGGCAGGGCTCAGCGCCCGCCCTTCCTCCCCCTCCCCCTCGCCAGCCGCGGAAGAGGGAGACGGCGCTGCGGCCTCCGCCTCCGCCGCGCACGCCTCGCCCGCCAGCTCGAGCCCCCTCGCCAGAGCATCGTTGGCCAGCCGCAAGCCGCCCCGCCCGAAGGCTGAGACGGCCCAGAAGAGCCACTCTGTCGGCACGTGCGCGGCCGACGGCGCGTCGAGCGCACGCACCGCGAGGTCCAGCTCCGCCTACGCAAGCGAAGGAGGCCTCAAGCGAGAGAGCTGCCACCCCGCAGCACCGCGAGGCCCAGCTCTGCCTCCGTCCAGTTGGAGACCTCGAGACGCGTCGAGCCTATTCACGGCTGCAGGTGTGAAGAGACGCTGTTCACAGCATGCAGAGCTCGAGACGCGTCGAGCCTATTCACGGCTGCAGGTGTGAAGAGAGGCTGTTCACAGCATGCAGAGCTCGAGACGCGTCGAACCGAGCAGCCGCACGTGGCGCAGCGCGGAGTGCAGCACGCAGCCGGGCGAGCGACCTGCCGGCAACAACACATGCGGCCTGAAGAAGGGAAAGAAGCGCTGGCAGCAGGAGCGCGCAGCCAGGCGAGCGGCCTGCTCCGCCGCCGGCCTCGCCCTTGCCGCCGCCGCCCTCGCCCCCGTCGCGCGGCTGCTGCGGAGCGGGCTGTGGGAAGGGCTGCAGGAAAGCGACGTCCAAATCGAGGAGGAGCCGGACCGAGGCCAGCGAGAGGGTGATCTCGAATGCGTGCGTCGTGCACTCCTGCCGGCACAGCGTGAGCGCGACGGTGAAGCCGACGCTGCCGGCGCCGCCGATGACGTTGCGCAGCTCGTGCGGCGCGCTCGCGTTGGTCGCGAGGAGAGAGAGCTCGGAGAGCTTGTCGAGGCTGCGGAGCCGCAGGTCGGAGATCTACAGGAAGGGCCGAGGAAGGGTCGGGGAAGGGTTCGAGGAAGGAGGCAGGGCGCCGCCCTGCTGCCGCGGGAGAGACCTCCACTCGCACCGTCCCGACCAGCTCCCTGGCGCGGTCGGAGCTCAGGGAGAGCAGCACGCCGTCGATGCGCGCGTCGTCGAGGCCGGCGGCGCGCGCCTATCACCTCGACACGATCTCGGCTAGATCTCGCGGCGCCTGGATCTCGAGCTCCGGCGCACGCAGCGACGGCGGGAAGCTCGCCCGGCGCAGCGCCTCGAGCAGCAGTGACACCGACAGGCCCTCGGCGCGCACGTCGAGGCCGAGGTCGGGGCGGACCGTGGCGGCGGTGCCGCGCAGCAGGTCGAAGTCGCGGCGCGAGATCTCGAGGGTTGGGGCCCAGGAGGGGAGCGCGACGCTCGTCGCGCAGCTGTCGAAGGGGCAGTGGTTGGTCCCCGCCTCGAGCCGGCTGATGTGCGCCTGCCAGCCGAGGCCGGCTTAGGGCTCGGGCTCGGGTTAGGGCTAGGGTTTGGGTTGGGTCGAGGTCACGCTGACGTGCGCCTGCCAGCCGAGGCCGGCGAGTCCAGCCCGCAGTCCGTCGTCGCTCGCGTTGGAGGTTATGTGGGATGCCGTCACGCCCATCACCTCAAAGCCCTTGAGCAGTACGGTCAGCTGTGGCCGCTCCTCATCGCCCGGCACAAACACATCTGGATTGAGCCACACATCTCGGTTGCTGTCGTCGGGAACCAGGATAAAGCCAGCGAGCGGGAGCTGGCCGACGAGGCCGCACGTCCAGCGAACGATGCCCTTCGGCGCGAGGATGCACGCGGGAGGAAGCGAGCCTTTCTCCTTGCGCTGAGAGGAGCGAGAGGCGTGGCCGAGCTTGCTCAGCGTCGCCCACAAGTCCTGCTCCCAGCCGTCCGGCTGGAGAGATGGGAGCTGCGGCAGCTGTGCCGACGCGGCCGCAGCGAGGAGCAGCGTGCTGGACAGCCTCATTTTGCGACCGGCACACGAGTCAGGCTCGCACACTCAACGACCCCAGCCAGCTCCTTCAGGCACTCCCTCCTCGTCCCTTCGTCTCGAGGTCTCGAAGCAGTCAGTGGTCGCGCCGTCCTCGACTCGAAGGGGCTACCTTCAGGGAGCGCTGGAGCTGGTTGCCCCCCACCCGTCGAACACGGGCCGTGTTCGACGCGTGTTCGACGCTCTGCCCCCGTGTTCGACGGAGGTGCTCGACGGCGCGGAGGGCTTGCTTGCCCTCCGCGCCGTCAGAGGTTGCGGGGATGGCCACCGACCAATCCGCGAGCGCCGGACCATCGGCCTCCACAGCGCCAACACCGTCAGCAACCCCAGCTCCCGTATGGAATGTGCCGCACACCTGGCGCGGCGTGCCCTATGGAGCGCCGGAGCTGCAGGAAACAAAGCACCGGTTCCCTTGCATTGGCGCGAGGTGTGCCGCTCAGTCGATGATACACGACCCGCCGACCCTCTGCCAGCCCTACTTCGACTCCGGTCGCGAGCCCGGGGACAGGTTTTGCTTTCAGAGGATGTGCGGGGCGTGTTGGAACGCTGGCGCGCAGCTGTGGTACTCGGCGGCAGAGGCGGCTCGGACTGCAGCGGCGGCAGCGAGCGCGCGGCGGCCACTATGGCGGAGCTCGACGCGATCCCCGATGCAGTGCTGGAGGCGGCGGTGCGGCAGGCAGAAGGAGGTGAGGCGGCGGCGGCTTCAGATGACGACGCAGGGCGCCGGCCACCCTCCTGGGTGCAGTCGGCGATGAGGCTGCCGAAGACGTACTCCGTGCCGTCGCGCATCTTGCCGAGGTCGAGCGAGCGGTATATGGCCTTGGTAAGGCTCGCCCAGGCGTTCTCGGTGGCGCACCAGCCGCAAACCCCCACCCGGAGACACTCTGCGCGCCGGCAGCGCTCTGCGCGAGGGCGCCCGGATCTCGCGGCGCGGATGTGCCGCCGCCGGCGGCAACCTCGTCCACGCTGTCCCACTTGAGGCCGCCCGAGGTGTAGGCCGGGTGGGAGATCAGCACGTACGCGTGCAGCGCCGCGTTGCCGTTGCGCCCGTGAACAGGACGAGGACATGTGGGAGGAGTACCGACTGATCCTCACGTCGCTGCGCGCCGCCGGCTTTGTGCCCTTTTACGTCGCCAAGCAGCCGCAGGCGACGCCTCCGCCTGCGGCGGCGGTGGGGCTGCCCGCTTGTGCCACGGCGCCTCTTCACGCTTCGCCCTGTGTGTGCCCAGGCGAGCTACCTGCAGGTGCAGGAGGGCTCGTTCCAGCTGTACTCAGCTACGAGGTCGCGTACGGTAACGTCAACGTGAGGTGAGGCAGGGGAGGGGTTGAGGAGGCGAGGGGGCGAGGGGGCGAGGAGGGCAGGGGCGGGGAGGGGACGGCGCCGACGGGAAGGCTTCGAGCTGGCGAGAGGCGGCTGACCACAGGCCGAGGTCCGACCGCACCGCTGTCCGCTGACTGCGCCGCCTCCGGCCGAGGCGGCCTCGACGGCGGCGCTGCGGTGGTCGGGCTGGGCCGGGGCCCTGCTTCTCGCGCGTGCGGGGCGGAGCGGAGGCGGGGAATGCGGCCTCCGGTGGAACGGCTGTCACCGCCAGATCCCTCGGCTCCACTGGTACGGCTTTAGAGTTAGAGAGAGTCCCCGCGCGCGAGAAGCCAATTGGAGACGCGTCTCTCTCGTCTTGTGGGACGACGTGTGCACCGTCGGCCACGCCGCACCGCACGTTGGCACGATGCACGCTGGGTCTCTATACATGTGTGGTGCTTGTGTGGCAAGCTAAACTTCTCCACAGACTACACTACACACAAGGTGCGGGGGTTCACACACAAGATTTAGCGAGACTCGGGGGGGGTGCGAGTCGTGCCACGTGCGTGTGTGTGCGTTGCGAGTTGGAGTTCTCTCAACCCGCTAATCTACAGCAAGGCAACACAGGGAGAGACCCGTGCCGTCCCCATCGGCGCCACCGCCTCCCATACCTCCAACGCCGGGTCGTAACGCTCCACCAGGCAGCCGATATCTCCGTCCTCCTCGATCTCATCGTTGTCGCCGCCCACAGCATACAGCTTGCCGTCCAGCACCGCCACGGCGTGACGGTTTCGAGCCGCCGCCATCGGCGACACAGCCTCCCACACATTCATCGCAGGGTCGTACCGCTCCACTGAGCTGAGATGGTCGCCGTGGTACCCGCCCACGGCATACAGCTTGCCATCGACCACCGCGACGGCGTGATTGAACCGCGCCGTCCCCACAGGCGCCACCGCCTCCCACGCGTTCGTCGCCGGGTCGTACCGCTCCACCGAGCTGAGGTAGCCGTCGTCGTAGCCGCCCACCGCGTACAGCTTGCCGTCGAGCACCGCCACGGCGTGAGCCTCCCGCGCCTCCGCCATCGGCGCCACCGCCTCCCACGCATCCAACGCCGGGTCGTACCGCTCCACCGATCTGAGGAAGCCATCGCTGTACCCGCCAACAGCGTACAGCTTGCCGTCGAGCACTGTCACGCCGTGAGAGTCCCGCTCCTTCGCCATCGGAGCCACCGCCTCCCACGCGTTCGTGGCGGGGTCGTACCGCTCCACCGAGCTGAGGTCGCCGCTTTCGTCGTTGAAGCCTCCCACCGCGTAGAGCTTGCTGTCGAGCATCGCCATGCGGACAAACCCTCGTGCCGTCGGCATCGGCGCCACAGCCTCCTCCTCCCACTCATTTGTTGACGGGTCGTACCGCTCCAGCGAGTGGAGGATCTCGCCCTCTCCGTCTAGGCCGCCGATCACGAGCATGTGCGGCCTCTCGCGCTTCTTCAGCGTCTCCTTCCAGCCGCGGCGCCACGCGCGGCACGTCCCCTTGACGGCGTGCGCCTTGGTCGGCAGCTGGGCGAGGATGTGCGGGGCGAGGTCCGGCGAGAGGAGGACCTCGGAGAGCACCCACTCGGGCTGCTCCACGAGCCGAGCGGCGTGCTCCTCCGCCACGCGCAGCGCGGCGTCGCTCGCGCCCGCCTGCGCCTCGATGATGGCGCACAGCTGCTCTGGCGAGAGGCCCGCGACGCGGGCGCCGATGCGGTGGGAGGCCATATACAACGCGCGACCGATTTCTCTCGTTCGCGCGGGGAGAAAACCCCGGCGCCGCAACCACAGTGGGCAACGATTTTTTTGTAAACTATTGATTGATGAGAGGCACGGGACTGGGGCGCGCACTGGATGAAAAGAATCTTACCGTTCGAACGTCTCCAGGCATGTCCATGTCGCGCGCATGACAAGTCACAAGAGCCTGCGCGGCCGGCTGGGTGCGGTGGCATCGCGGAGATCGCAACGTCGGAGCCGCGTAGTCGTTACGGTAACTCCGCCTCGCTCCCAATCCTTCCTCTCCCTCCCGCGCGCTTTTGTGTCGTCAGCGAGACGGCAGGCGTGAGGAATCTTGGAATTGCGGGCGAGATCGCGGCGAAGACTTGCGCGTCGAAGCGGTCGACGGCGTCTCGCAGGTCTGGCTGGTGCCTGTTCACAAGCTGATGCCTGTTCACAGCTGAGCGGACGCTTCTCACAGCTGCAGAGCGCCCTGAGAGATGGACCCGCGCCACCCTCGCGCAGATGTGTCTCGTGTGCCTTTGCGCGCTGCTCTCTTGCTAGATCGCTCTCGCGCGCCCGAAGCGCGTCGCGACCTCTGTGCGCAGCGTCTCCGCCACATCGAGCAGCTGCTGCAGCGCCTCCTCGGACGCCATGCTGCTCCGGCGCGGCGCCTCGGCCTCGTCGGGCCTCGTCCTCCGCCGCGAGACGGGCGCTCGGCACCACGTCGGCCATCATAAGGCCCATCGAGGGCGGTAGAGCCACGGGCGCCAGACGGCCGCCTCCGGACGTAGAGCTGCAGGCGTCGGTGGTGCCGGCGGCGGCGGCGAGCGCCCCGGAGAGAGAGCGGCGCGCTGTGCAGCGGAGGGGCGGGTCAGGTGGCTCTCAAAGTGCCACACAGAGCGGACGTGCGCAGACTGCGCAGAGGGGTGAGAGGAGGGGTCGGGTCGGGCCGTGCGCACACCGAGTGAGGCGTGGGCGCCGGTCCACTTGCTGGCCTCGAGGCTGCCTACGTGAGAGAAGGTTCCGAGAAGGTGAGGGTCACGGTCGCCAGACCAGTTGCTGCTGGCCTCTCGAGGCTGGCAAGCTGCGGTCTCCTGCGACCGCACCTCCGCCTCGGCGGCGTCCTATGGTTGGGGGTTTAAGGGTGGTGGGTGGGCTGACAGAAGAGCGAGAGCGAGAGGAGGAGGAGGCGGCGAGCGAGGAGGAGGGAGGGGCGAGGAGGAGCAAGGGAGGAGCAGGAGGTGAGCCCGGAGAGGTCCTGGATCAGCTTGAGCAGCTCGAGCCTCGTCCTCGCTCCGCCGCCGCTGGAGGAGGCGACTCCTGGTCCACTCTCTCTTCGAACACTTGTGCCTTCACGGATGATGCCGGCGCTGGGGTCCCCTTCGGGTGCATCGTGACAGTGTTGTGCGATGCTGACAGTGTTGTGCGAGGGAGTTTTGTTGTAAAAATCTTTTTTCGAAGCCAGGCGCGGGTGGGGGTTGGGCGGGGGGCGGAGCCGGGAGCGGCTCGCGGGTTGGTCCGGTGGGGGGGGCGGGGCGGGGGGGCGGGGTGGATCGGGTCGGGTCGGGTTGGGGCGGGGTTGCTCGGGTTGGGGTGGGCGGGGTTGTGGGGTGGGGTGGGGATGTCGGGGTGGGGAGTGGGTGGGCGCCGGAGTGGGAGTGGTGGTGTGACTGCTCCTGTGGTGCGGGTGACGGCTTCTGAGGAAGCCGTCGCCCGCGCCTCGCCTGTCGCGTGAATCGTGTCGTGCGACCGCCTGAGTTCAAAATTCTTTTTGGTGAATTCTTTTTTCGAAGCCCAGCGCGGGAGCAGAGCCGAAAGAGAGGAAGCCTCAGTATCCGCAACCCGCTCCTGTATGCCCGGCCGGACGAAGGCTGGCTCGGCCGCGTCCCGGCGCGGGCACGCTTCAACGGCGGCTACTGCTGCGCCGCTCGCGCTGCCGAAAAGGATCGAGGCGGCGGCGGAGAACGGCAAGGTCGACGTGGTGCAGACGTGGCTCGCCGGGGCGGGGCGGGTTGACGCGACGTGCGTGCATCGCGGTGTGAGTGGCTGTACGCTCCTGCTGATCGCCGCCGAAAACGGTCACACGCAGCTCGTTGAAGTGGTGCTGAAGCACGGCGCGGAGGCGGACGCGCGAGACAGCGACGACAGTACGGCACTGATGGCCGCCGCCCTCTCGGGCTACGAGCAGGTGGCCGAGATGCTGCTGCGGCACGGCGCACGGATCAATCTGCAGGACAGCGCAGGCATCACCGCGCTGATGATGGCCGCCGTCAACGGCCACGAGCAGGTGGCCGAGATGCTGCTGCGGCACGGGGCGGAGATCAACTTTCAGAACTGGCTCGGCGGCACCGCGCTGATGGCCGCCGCTTTCCACAACCGCCCCGCCGTTGTGCTTTGCTTGCTGCGGGCGGGCGCATACATGGCGCTGCGCACTAGCGGCAGTACGGCGCTGCAGATCGCCAAGGAGGAGGGCCACGCCGAGTGCGTCGAGGCCTTCCGGATGTATCTCGGGGAGGTGGCGGGCCGGAGCAAGGCGCCGTCGGCCGAGGCGGGCGGCGCAGGGGCGGGCGGCGCACCCGCAGGCGAGGCGGCGGCGGGCGCCAGTGCCGCGGCCTCTGCTTCGAGCGGCGAGGGCGCGGGGACCGCGCCGGGCAGCGGGGCGGTGCCAAAGGAGGTCGTGCTGGCGGCTGGGCGAGGCGAAGAGGCGACGGTGCTGGCGTGGCTCGACGGCGGCGGGTGGCTCGACGCGACGTTCGAGTACACCTTTGGTGACGGCTCGTGGGCGAGCGGCATGACGCTGCTGATGGTCGCGATGACTTGTGGCCGCGCGGAGCTGGCTGAGGCGCTTCTGCGGCGCGGTGCAGATGTCTCGTTGCAGACCAGCGACGGCAGCACCGCGCTGTGTCTCGCCGCCTCGAACGGCCGCGAGAAGCTGGTTGAGCTGGCATTGCGGCACGGCGTGGAGGTCGACCAGAAGAACAGCAACGGCGTCACTGCACTGATGGAGGCCGCCTACCAAGGCCACGAGCGGGTTGTCGACACGCTGATCCGGCACGGCGCGGAGATCGTCCACCAGAACAACGTCGGCGACACCGCTCTGATGGCCGCCGCCCTCGGCGACCGTCCCGCCGTGGTGCTTCGCTTGCTGCGGGCGGGCGCAGACATGACGCTGTGCAATAGCAGCGGCAAGACCGCGCTGCAGTGGGCCAAGGAGAAGGGCCAAGCCGAGTGCGTGCGCGCCCTCGAGGAGCATGCGGCGGCCGAGAAGGCGGCCGAGAAGGCGGCGAAGGAGGCGGCGTGGGCTGCGGGGGCGGCGGAGAGGGCGGCGGAGAGGGCGGCGGCGGAGAAGGAGGCGGCGCGGCACGCCGAGGAGCTGCTGGCGGAGGTCGAGGCGGAGAAGCGCGCCAAGGGCAAGAAGGGCAAGAAGAAGAAGAAGGGCGGCGGGAGCGGCGGGGCTGGGCCGTCGCAGGAGGCCGATTCGCCGGCAGAGGCAGCGGCAGCCAAGCCCGCGCCGTTGGACAGGGAGGGGCTGCTCAAGCTTCTCGCGGAGCTCCACGAGGACAGGATCCGGTTCGGCATCACGCCGGAGACGTCGGTCGAGGGGTTGGCGGAGGCGCTGGGAGAGGCGGCGGGCGAGGCGAGCGAGGAGGAGCGCCGTCGTCTCTGCGAGAGTCGCCGCCGCCTCCCTCGCCACCACCGCCCTCGCCACCACCACC